AACCATGACCATGAAGGTTTGCTTCAAGCAGCATGCAGCGTGCTTGTTCTGCAATCATCCGGTTGACGCGTTCCACGAGCTTATTCTGCTCTGACGTGTTGGTAGTTTAGTGCCGGATTCCTACCTGTTTCAAATAACGTTGGAATCCGTTATTAGTGTATTCCTTACCATTATACGGTTGCAGGATTTTTATCATCTGTTCGCACTGGTACTCAACCTGCGCCTGGAATTCTTTGAAGCAACCTAGGACCTCATCTTCAGATTTCGCCTTGAAGAAGTATAAGAACATCCTACGCTACCGATCATCAATGAAGGACACATAATCCCAATGGTGATGGAACTTCCATTGGTCCCGCTACGTCCGAGTGGATAACTTCAAGTCGTTCTTGAGCTCTTGATCCGCTCTTACTGAATGCAAGGACGGGTTTGCTTCCCCATTGGACAAACGGTACAATCATAAAGGTAACTCTAAGACCAGAAGGTCCCGAAGAAACGTGCTCAACTTTTTGGCTCAGTTCTGGTACTCTCTTCGGTCCCAAGCTAATCGAGTCACCCCTCGAAACATAGGAAAATCCACTAACCCCTCATTTTATCTGTCAAACTTTGATAGCGAATCAAAACAAACACAGTGTAGTACTAGAATTTCGACTAGAATGGGGTATGTTCATCGATGTACTTTGGATCGAAAGGCTAGTCCAGTGTGAGCCAAATTTAAAGCGATAGTTTCCAACCGGTGGTAGCTGTCAACATCGCTTGACTAGCACCTTCCGATTGCGCTAACTTGAACAGATCGTTTGCAATATGTAATGCCAGTTGCTACTAACTTGCCTTCTGCGTTGAAAATCTCACAGCCACTTGAATGGAACACCACCTTGTTACCGTTTGGGTACTTTGCCCTATGAAAAAAAGCTCGAGCAGAGCGATAGCAGAGCTATAAAGAGCGAGCACTCAACCGAACGAGACAGCAATCCACTAGTATACTGCTGTTCGGTGCGCTAATGTCTGAGAACCATGATAGTTTATAATCAGTAATGATTGATCTAATGTTTGCTTAGAATTAATGATATTATTAGTCATATTGTTGCTAAAACTAAACAGTGAATGAATAGTAGAGCACTAATGGCTCATTCATATACATAAAACAGATAGGAATTAGGGAACTGAATTAAATGAACTCCAGTATGAACGGTCGAATTAAATACAGAAACATACCAACTGTTATACACCTACACTTAACATACAGAAAACAAAACCCACCACCCGGATCATGGAGGAGAAGGGAAATTTGGAATGGGACTAATGGATCAAGAAGGAAAGGGACATTTTGGGAAAAGGGAAATATATGGTCTGCTACCGGTCCGAAGAATAGCACTAGTTCTTTTCCACGCCAACCTTTGAGAGAACAAGTTCACCAAGTTGAAGAACAAAGTGTAAAAAAATAGTGAACAGTCAAATACGGGTGGAAAAAACAAAGCTGCCTAATCTATTGAAACCGTAGAATCAGGACCCATTGAGTTTTACCTCAAAACCGGCTGTAAGGCCTGAGTCAGGCCACGGTCTGGGAAATCAGTCCGAGAACGCACTAGGCCAGGTAGTGCTCGATCGACCGGCTATACGTGCCAACGAGCCGACGTTCAACCTTGGTAGGAAACCTGGTACCGCGAGGAGTTCGCAGCTACAGAACCTCGTGCCATCCTGCACTGATACCACTGTCCGTGGCAATCGTGCCATTCATCGCACTCAACCAGCAGTCCCATGCGTCCAGCGCAAGTGACGCCGACGCCGCCGACGTGCAGCAATATCAGCGATCATCCGATAGCACTCGTAGCCGCCCCGTCCGATTCCCCGCAGTAGAGATCCACGTGCCGGCCGGCCCTTACACACACACACACACCCCCAGAATTTGTAAGTAGGTTTTAATTAATAAAAGTTAAATAGTGAAAGATTAGGTGACCGTGTTTGCATTTGCTGATCAGTGTCCCCTATTTGTCCGGAGCCGACCTTGAGAGCTCCGTCTCTCAAGCTCGAGCTAGTCGCCGCAAAAGAGGCTGGTGGATAGCCCACCCCGTCTGGTCCCCGTGGCTTTAGACCAGGGACCTGGGGCATTGTAGTCTTAGAGAGAGAGAGCACACGCAGTAAGTAACAACCTTGAAACCTTTCTTGACAATCTGGACTAGCAGGTTTGTCGATAGATCCTGCACGTCGTGAACAGGAGTTCCATCCACACATGCTTCGATTTTCATCGTTTCCTTGTAGGCAGCTAAATACAACTATCCCATTTGACTTACGGATGTCCTTGAGGAGCTCCAGATCCCTTGTCATATGCCGGGTTGCTCCAGAAACGAGGTACCACTGATTCGTTTCTTGACTTCGAATCATCGATAGTCCCGTACAAAACGCATCGGCTTCCTTGCTGCCTTGATTTTCCAAACAAAACCTCGCTATGGAGCCAAATTTACTGCAATTCCGAAACTGAGTCGGAGGAACCTCCGTTTTTTCTCTAAACTTACTCTTCGCAACGAACGCTATTTTTTCACTTGGCAACGACTCTTCCTGCACCAAAATGGTATTGATCTAATCACCCGTAGTAGCTATTCCAGAATTCTTGAGAGCCATGACTATTAGCTGATACCTCTCCGGGAGTCCAGCTAGTAGAACTACACCAACAAACGGCTCCAGTATTGGAAATCCAATCTCGTTCAACTGGTGACACGTCGAAATCATCCTGTTGGCATACGCTTCCATAGTTCCGCACGATTCCAGGTCGGTCCTTATCAGCTTGTTAAGGTGATACTCTAAGGAAGCCTTAGCGTGAAACTTGAAAGGCACAAATGTCAGCTTCCACCAAACATACAAATTTGAAATTGCTACTCTCTGTTTGTAGTAGCACAGCAAACAAGGAGTAGCAATTTCAAATTTGTATGTTTTGTGGAAGCTGACATTTGTGCCTTTAAGGTTTCACGCTAAGGCTTCCTTAGAGTATCACCTAAGGCTAGCGCACAATGTATAAGCACAGACAAACAGACATAACTCATTGAATATTTCTCACTGTAAAACATCGTCGCTAAAACATTACCGCCATCTGTTGAGTACACTGTGGTGGGTAGTACGCTGAACAGATGGCGGTAGTGTGTAAACGTCAAACGCAAGGGAATTTACTATGCGTGCCACAGGTGGTGGTACTACCAACTATGATACTTTTAAATTGACCGTTAAATGCTTGTTCGATGAACAACTTGCGAGTGTTATGTCTGTTTGTCTGTGGTATAAGTTTCCGGGTTTTTTGACAGATAATGCATGGGTTAACTGTCGAAAAACCTGAAAACTTATCCATTGTGCGCCGGCCTTTAGACAGCTAGATTCTACCAACCTTCTACCAACCGGTGGAAACTAACGATTTTAAATTGGCTCACTACTTGACTAGCCTTGCTAGTTTTGCCGAGGATATTCCGGTACGGAATTTTTCTCGTTTTCCTCAGATATTTGTCCTATTCTGCGAATCGTGTGACTAGTTCAACTTGTTCATCGCAAGAGACCCCGGTGGCCTTGCTGAATTTAGTAAATTTGGCACGCTGCAGAGTGAGTTTTGGTGCGCTCAGCGGATCCCGCTAGATGACTCTAAGCAATTTGCTGTTTAGCCAAAGCCACGCAAGATCCTATGGACGTTCAGATGAGCCAACTATACTGTGCAACACAGATTCCCAGATTCCAATTCGGCTCATCCAGAGATTACGATAGTATTCATGGGAGAAGTTGTACGGCCATAAACAGAAAACAGATGGTATAATCATAGAGGTAACTCTAAGACCACTGGGTCCCGAAGAAAATCATTATTATTTTTGGCTCACTCAGTACCAGAACAACGGTCCCAAGCAGTCCCAAGCTATTTCACTCACCCCTGCATGTTCTGCATGAATCCACACACCCCTGATGTTATCTGTCAAACTTTCATAGCGAATCAAAACAAACATAGTGTAGTAATAGAATTTCAACTAGAATAGGGTACGTCAATCGTTTGCTTGGGACCAATAGGCTACTAAAGTGGTGAGCCAATTTAAAATCGTTAGTTTCGTATTGATTGTTGGTATAATCATAGAGGTAACTCTAAGACTAGAAGGTCCCGAAATAATGTGCTCAACTTTTTGGCTCAGCTCTGGTACTCTCTTCGGTCCCAAGCTAATCGATTCACCCCTCGAAACATAGGAAAAACCAATAACCCCTCATTTTATCTGTCAAACTTTCATAGCGAATCAAAACAAACAGTGCGTAGTACTAGAATTTCGACTAGAATGGGGTACGTTAATCGATTTTCTTGGGACCAATAGGCTAGTCAAGTAGTGAGCCAATTTAAAATCTTTAGTTTCGTATTGATTGTTGGTATAATTGCTTTTTGAGAAATTATCCTGCCACACACAATATGATCACAAACGAAGTGACAGACGGAGCGGCTCGAAAACTTTGGTGACGCACCTGCTAATGCAATTTTTCAGTGTTCCACATGGCAACACCACTACTACTGGATTGTACCACATGGCAACACTAAATGTACTAGAATGTTTTAGTTCTATCTCTTTCACTCTACTCTTAACTGAAATGCATAAAAAAAATGACAAAATGATAACACTGTTAAAGATCATATTGCACACAAAATCAACTATGTTCAAATCAAAACAAAAATACTAGCCCATCTAGTGGCTGATGGCACAAGCTTCTAAGAAAATTCTATTACAGCGAACCGCGTTATTTTAATTGATTTCTTCGCCAGTTAGTCGTCTGTCATTTCGTTTGTGATATCTTCGATTATGCGTACCATGCATCAGCGACAATAAATCGAGTTCCCCCTGTAAATGAGCGCTTGGTAGTTCCAAATCTGAAATCCTAGTGACGCCACCGTCACCAAACTTGCACGCAAGAGACACCGTCAAACCAGCGCTGCCAACCAAAATGGCGATTAAAAAACACAAAATTCAGTTGCAAGAAGATTGCATTACGAGAAAATACTCCGCTCAACAAGTTCTGTCGTGTTTTTCAATTAAAATTACACTTTTCGAATCAATAAAGTGATTCAATTTGTTCAGTGAATAGTTTCGAATCACAAGTGTACCGAAATTGGTTGGAATTTATCTATTATAGCAAAGAACTCCGAAAAAACCACTTGCCTTCACCCGGACTTGACCGTTTATTTTCGTATGTACAGTGAAGCGTGAAGGTTTTTGGCCACCCGTACACCGTGGAAGGAAATGGCTCCCGTAGTGGATAACAATCAGTTCGAGCTTCCGACGGTGCTGGAAACTCCGGGCAAGAAGCGGAAACGCAACGCCGACACCAATCCGTTCCTGTCGTTCTCGGATCAGACGTTCAGCATCCCGTCGTCGACTCCGATTCACAACAAGCAAATCGATGGAAGTGCCTTCGAGAACCCGAGCTTCCGCTTCGGGGCCACCGGTAACGATAACGGAAGCAACAAGGAGAACTATAACATCTTTTCCGATTCGTGCATGGAGGTGAAATCGATTGCGGAGCTGGCTGCGGCCGTTGGAGAGAATCCATTCGAAGTGGTCCGGAAGCCACCGAGCAAGAAACAGAGGAAGGTAGCGGAAATTGAGGAGAGTTGTTTCGTCAATCCTGGGCTTAATTTGGATGCGGTGGATAAGCCGGCCGTTAATCCGTTCGAGGTGGTCAGGGCTGACGATTCGTCGAAGCAGGAGAACGAATCGTGCTTTGTGAACGGAGGATTGAACATCAAGAGCAAAGAGTGCGGGGAAGTGGTTAATCCGTTTGAGATTAGTCGCCCAGGCGGAAAGGGACCTGAGCAGGGGGTGGAGGAGAAGGCAGAATGCAAAGGAATCGAAAATCCTGCTTTGGAGATACCGACTTACGCGTTGGCCGTTCCGTTTACGCCGTCCATCAATCATAGGATCAATTTTCAGGTAGGATCAATTTGAAATACTGACGAAGATGTGTTGATAAAAGTTTATGATTTTAGGAACTTTCTGCCAACGCACTGACACCATGCCAAATGCTTGCCAAAAACTTGGTTTTCAGTCCGGAACCCAGTCAGGACAATCTGGTGACGCCCAAGAGAGCCGTTGCGGCTTCGAACCGCAAATCACTTTCGGTTATCGATGAAGAACCATTGGATATTGGGGAAGAGTTGGACTGCTATCAGCTGGAACTGGAGAACAGTATCAATGAGGCGAAAGCTCGCAAGCAGAAGAGTGTGGGTGGTTCCACAGGAGCCAGGACGAAGGCTCGACGTAGTTTGATTGGTGTCAAGCACATCAGCAACTTATCGATGAAGATGAAGCAACTGGAGGAGTCGGAAGGAGAAGAGGAAGTCGCAGCCATAACTGAGCAGCCTCCAACACCTCCGACTCCACAGACTCAGATGACATTTACCATTGTCAAAGAGACAACCACAACCGTCCAGGAAGAAATTCGCATTAACGTTAGCAATCCGGACGTCCAATTCGAAGAAGTCGATGACTTTGAGGATGAAGAACAGGACGTAGATCTCTTCGCCAACCCTGCTCCCTTCCAGCGAGCTTATCGCAAAAAGGAAGACCCAAAACAAGAAGATAACTTCAAACATCCGCCCTTGCCGGAGGTGGCATCAGGAACGAAGTCCCACAAAGTAAAGGACGTCATCCGCCGGAGCTTCCGGAAGTTGATGCACCCCAAGCAACAGCACCATGATCAGGTTCAGATCACCGATTTGGACGAGAAACCCAAATCGGAAGAGGGTCACCACGGATTTATTTCCACCATTCGCCACAGTTTTCGCCGGAAGGTCCATAAGACAAAAGATCCGCAACAGAAAGATGAGGATGGAGAGGCTGAAAAGGTGCTGGACATGTCGGTTATAGTGGAGGCACCGAGAGCAGTGTTTCGGCAACCCAGCGCCGATGAGTACAGAACGATTGTGCCGGGTGGATCAATGGATAAGGTGGGATCGACGCTGCGCAGCAGCTTGCGCCGGTCGACCAAGGATATGAAGAAGCAGATGATGAAGAATGTGTTCAAGAAGGCCGGTGAGGAGTAGGAGTGATACTCATTAGGGTTTTTTTAAATAGCTATTGGAGGTAAGTTGGCAACAGTTTCAACCCAAAACATCATTAATATTTCATAAGAAACATTTATATTTAATCCAAAGATCCTCAAAATTGCACCAAATCCAAAACTTAAGTATACCAAATTTCAACCAATGATTCTCATCATATTTATTTTTATTTATTGGAGTTCATCCAATCTGAATTTCGTTCGTTTTTATTGTAAGTTAGTTGATTTCTGCAGTCACCATTAAATCACATTCAAGACTCAAAACAGAGGGTCACATAATGAGGGTTATTCCGAGAATCGAAGTGACTTTTGTCACTAGTGAAGTGAGAAAGGTCACGTCGTGGTGACGTGACTCTCCGTGCAAATCAAATGGAGAGTCACGTCACCACGACAAAAGTCCCTTCGACTCTCGGAATAACTCTAACCCCCTTCGCTTCGGCTTCCGCATTGAGGCTCCAGATTTCGAATGCCTTTTACCAAATCGATATATTTTACTTACATTCCACGTACTTAACAAAACCAAACTACACACATTCAGTACAAATTGTTTTAAGTTATGAAGTTGACCGAACCTCGACACGAACGCATTCTAAATAATAGCACGAATAATGTCATTCATCACATTTTAATCGTTATTTAAGTTTCATTTTTAGGTACTGCATGTTTTTGATGTTGAATAAATTTGGAAAGGAACGCCTAAGCGAAGCTACTCGATTTGAGAGAAAAATCCTTTGGGTCTTAGGGTTTTACCAGTCTACCGAAGGAAGGTATGATCAGCCATATTATGCCTCAGAAAATCCCGGCGGCACTGACTGGGATCAAACTCAGGCCCTTTGGGGTGAGAGGCAATCACGCTAACCACTACTACTGCCGCTATTCGCATGTCCGTCCCATAGCGAAAATCAGCAAGCCGAGAAAATCGCGTTTTAAGTTAGCTTCGTACCATTGCTTCTTATGTGATGGGACAACTAATTTGACTGTCTTCTCAAACTTTTTCAGAACAAAGTTGTTGAGTTAATCCAGTATTGTGAAAATATGGGTGATTATCTACCATTTGCTTTGAAAAACTCAGTTTTGACAAAAACTACTATGGGACCGACATGCGAAGAGCGGCAGTACACCTCCTGCGCCACTAACATCATACTACCGGAGTTAATGCATCTGATGCATCTATGAACGTTTAAGACGTTGAGTGCCCGGTAACGTGGGTAGATCACCTTTTCGTGGTACGTTACGGAATGTAAGATCTACCATCGATTCCTAGTCCTGACTATTTTAAACTAGGGGAACAGGATTTTTCAGTAATACTAAGTAACACTATACTAAGGACAGGGGATATGCTACAATAGATAATGTAGATCATATTACTGGTCACGGTGGTTTTAGGTCACGAACAGAGGAAAAAAATTCTAGGCAAATGGTAAGTTCGCAGTTTTCATCGTCGTAGTCACCGTTGGCAGTACCATTTGTATATTTAAAACTAATCATCAACCGCAGAAACTATATGAATTATCGCCTATCATATTTTATATTAACTAAAGGAAATGGATGTAATGTGTGCGTAAATGCTCCTAATTTGGGCCCATACATAAATTCAGCAATCGACTAAATTTTCAATAGCGACCAAAAATATCCATTAGTACCGTCCCAATGACGCGTTCATCTAGATAAAATTGATAAATATCAGATTTTTAGCGATGGGCCCAATCTTTGATCCATAGGCCAACATTAGAGCCATTTCCCTTATCATATAAATTTCATTGATGAAATGATGACAGGTTCTTAGCAGCGGATCTTACGATCGCGCATCGGAAACATTGTGCATTAATAGAGCGGATGGAAAAAAAAATCTCGCTGTAGATCTTATGATCGCGTGGACCCGAGCGCAGATCCTAAAAATATGCAACATCAGTATTATTAGCATAATCTCTTTTCTAGCGAAACACTCACGCTAATTTGAATGTTTTGTCATTACAGAATAATACAAGGTTCTTAAAACGAAAATAAAATAACGAATGATGGCAGGTATGTTCGAGTGGTTGGCAAACCAACCGGCTGTGTTGGTGAAGATATTCCAATCGATAACCAAATCGACTCTGAGATGATCCTCTAGTAGCGACAGCAGCAGCATCTCAGACAGTGATTTCTGATAACATAAAAAAAAAATCGAACTCGGATGGTGCATCTAGCGCATCTGCATCGCCAGATCGAGATCGCCATCGGTTAGCCCATCTACCCTTGAAGCAATACCCACCGAAAACGCAAGACAGAACACATTGGAACACACCAGTAACGCCGAACGGATCGACCGTATGGAGAAAATACTCGAGGGTATAAATGACGCCCTGAGCCGTTTTCAATCAAATTCTGGATCGACGATCATTGGAAATGCTGATAACAGCTGGAACCTCTCTAGCCAAGTAAACGCTACATGGTACGTGACATTTCGGAAATCAAAAAAAAAATTTGATGCCAAATGTCTTAAAAATGCATGAAACGTCAAGATTTGGTGTTATCTCGAAAAAAATGTTTTTTTTTCAAAAATCGACATTCTGGGTCTTAATTTTTTTTTCATGAGTTCTATATGAGTTAAGTACAGCACTTTCCTGAAATCATACCAGAACCCAATTACAAGCAATTCAACAAATTCCGAGACACAGCAACGACACTATCGACAGGAACTTCAGTCGATATCAGCAATAATAAGACACAACGGCAACAACAACAACAACAACAACAACAACAACAACAACAACAACAACAACAACAGCAGAACTGCATCCTAATGCATAATCATATTTCTGTATATCAGCATTCCAATTCCTTTCCACGAGGCGACCATCCATCAGCGACAACGAGCCGGTTAGCAGCAGACAAAACATAGATAGCATATAAGTAATAATTCGCGCACTTAGCGTTTTTCATTAAACCCTTTAGTATATAGCACATTGTAACTTTTTGCTTTAGAAGAATAAATTCATTCTAGTTCAGACCTTCAGTCGAGTAAGTTCGTAGTTCTAATTTTATTTTTTAAAAACGCCCCCCGAAGGCCCGAACTAATAACTTATGGAATATAGAAGATTAATGAGTCGGCTTCTAAAACTGTTCACAATTGTCTCCAACCTGCTTATATATCGAATTAAACCACCATTTAGGATCTAATACGAAATAGTTCACTAGGGTGGTCCAATTCCCTCCCCTTGGCTAGTTTTAGCACCTTGCTGTTGGTTGGCGGGCTTTATTTCATGCTTTATAGTGGAGTGTTGGAGACGGTAGGTTTATGGTCGGCGTTGCTGGCTCATGCCGCGATAGAATGGCACCATGGGCAGGCAGTGGGGATTACTAAGCTTCCCCTCTCTGATAAACCACCGCATGAGAGAACCAAAGATCTAGTCTAGCAGTGATAGTATCACACTTGTTACTCCTTTAATTGAGAGCCGCATCGTAGTACGCTTACGTATAGGCACTGACGTTGGGTGTGATACTGGCGGGTTTTGCCGCAAATCACTCGTATTTTAGTTATTTTTAGGCAGATAGATTTATTTGGGTTTGCAAGGGAATTATACTATTGAATTATTTCAGAAAGTGCCCAACGGTGCTCCTTCTATTTGCGTGACAAGCTTGCATTGTTGTTTCCATTGAAGTATTACTCAGGAAACAATGTTAAACATCATTTTTGTACATGGTATTGCAACTAATCTTATATGTGCTTCATTTTGATTTGGGATAAGTGTTTGAACTATGGCTCGGGATTTCCACTGTGGCGTGCTTCTTTTGTGACATAACCATACGTATTTTTTTGGTGCGACATAGTGGAAACGTGTGAGCGTAGTTGAAGCATATACCCTATGTAATTTAAAAATCAGCTAGGAAACTAACTTCAAAATGAAGCATTTTAGTCACATGAAGGTGTTACCTGGGTCGAACTAAGATATAATAAATAGGTATTGGTCAAAATCAATAGTACTTGAAACACGTTTAATTTTAGATTACAAGCACAAGTGCAGGTACTAAATAAAGCATGGGTTATGCTTGATTAGGTGAATTAGAGCTTTTAATAATTTATTAAATTAGACTAATGAGATATCATAATCATCAAATGAACTTAAATAAGAAACTTCAGAAAGTCTAATGATATTAAGTAGATTAACAAAAGAATTAGGATGCGGGGGGTCCGCTTAGGGTGGCAACTAACCTTTAAAGCTGTAGAATAAATCTTCTTATTTAGTCTTGAACTTTGAAAAGAAAACGCAGGCAGAGAAATAGTTTAGGAAATAAGTAAAAGTAGAGTTATGTGACAATTAATAGCTTTTAAACTTTTGGAGGTATTGTATTCCCCTGAGTTTGTTGTACTCGATTACTATATAATTCTCTCAAAACGCGAAATCTATTATATATGCAGTTAAAGCATTTGAGTTAACTTATTTCTTAGTGTTCAAGTACTTACACTTGTAAACAGCAGTCAATGTTAATCTATGAACTAAACCATACGTAAAATCGATCTTTCCTTATGTGGTATTGATGCATGTTTAACTTTTCGCGGCTGTCGGAATCAACGCGCCTACGTCTACGGAGCTTACGCAGAAGTGATTCGCTTTGCGGTAGAGCTCACCAAAAGTTTTTTTTTAGCTTCTGAAGTATATAATTTACTCGGTATGGTCGCGAAATCTTGAAATGATTGATACGTGCGGTAAAATAACTAAATTGAAACAAAGCTCAACAGTAAAATAAGTAGAATATTTAGGGAGGAAACCAAAATTAATCAACTTGCCAACATAGGCTATCACATTTATTTTGGTGGCACTCTTTAAATGATAATAAGTCTTTTGCTTTGGTTGTCTCGCACGGCTTTCGGAATTCGCGCGGTTTTCGTAGCTTACATAATTTAGATATTTCGTTCGAAACGGATTTACTACGCGGATGTATCTACGCGCACACGTCACAGCATTTTTTCTATAACTATCTTGAAACAATACATACGGAATCCAGTGTTCAAGCGGCCAACATAGGCTAGTCCTTCTGCTGTATTGTCAAAGATAGAAGCCAAATTTATTCAAATGGGTCAAGTCTTGAAAATTAAGCTGTCACGCAGCTCCAGCTTGATACCCAAAAAAAAAAATACGAAATAATTCACTAGGGTGGTCCAAAAATCAAAATAGGTATGTAAAACCATTACTTTTTACCAAACGCATGTATCTGAAAATATCATCATGTTGTGTTTTGGAATTTT